TGTACGTATGTATGTATGTATGTATGTATGTATGTATGTATGTAGGTATGTATGTAGGCATGTATGTATGTATGTATGTATGTACGTACGTATGTATGTATGTATGTATGTATGTATGTATGTATGTAGATATGCATGTATATGTATATGCATGCATATGTATATGCATGTGTATACATATCAGAACTATAGCCGCCGAGACCTGAACCCTACTTGGAGCTTGAAGCTTCAATCCGAAGTCAAACAAGGGAACGGCCTGAATTGGACTTTCGTGAAGCATGGCAGGGGGGAGCCCTCCAAGAAGAAGTCCTCGAGAAAGCCAGGGATTGCGCCACATGTGACAAAGTTCCCCTTTTCGTGGAGAGTTCTTATAGCAGGTGATAGTACCACAACCCTTAAAGTAGACGTGCCCGCTTTGAAGGCACCAGTGTGGTACGTTGTGCTTGAAGGGCGGCATAAGAGGCCGCATAACAAGTAATTAACACATCAGAACATGCCCGACTGCGACTATGCCGATACGACAACTCAACATTGAACAACCATCAAACAACAGATGAACCTCGAACAAGCCTTGCAAATCCTCAGGGCTGTCTCAAGCCTCGAATCCTCCGCGCTAACACCCGGTTCAACCAATTCGTCGCGTTAGTAACCTACCGCTATGGGTAATACTTCTACATGTGTTTATGACTATCGCAACAGCATTCTCCCACTCCACTGTTGCCAACAATATGGCTACTATTTGGCTGCTCTGATGCTACTGCTCGTTTTGACCTCCATGTCGTTATGATTAATGGTATGATGGAGATTTCCGTACTCGGTTGGCATCCTGGTCAGCTGATCCCGACACCCCTAGCAGTGACATCGTTGGCAGGCTCCAGCCCTCGAGCCTACAAGCCCCGCAAGCCCTGAACCTGAACACCTCAAGCCCCAAAGCCCGTAATCAAGCTCAAAGAACCTTCACACACTCCTGAGACCTTCAACTTAAGCCCTAAAACCCGAAGCCCTCCAACCCTCGTTGCTAGTCTTCACACCTCAAAGCCTTAGAGGCTGCTTTAGCCCTTAGCCGCAAATGCCCAGCCATGTATTCGGTATTGCGGCCAGCCCCAAACTGCCAAAGCCCTAGACGCGAACAGAAAGCATGTCGATCTGCTCTTCAGAACTCTATATGTCGCCCCAAGCCGAAGCCCCGAACCTGAAGCCCAGACCGACCCTGCAAACCCCAAGCCCTAAGCCCTCTGTACCTTGAAGGCTTTAAAGCCCTGAGCACCCGGCCGTCTCCATTCCGAGGCATCCCTGAGAAGGATCAGACCTCAACTGCTCGATTTGGATTCGGGTTTAGGGCCTTGGGGTTCAAGGTTTAATTCTTGGCAGTTGTGGATGGTTTCACGATGTTTTCTTGGGGGAAATTTGGGCTTTCGGGTCTTTGTGGTTGATGTCGGCATAGCAGCAGAATGCACTGGCTTCTGCTGTTGCTAGCATCTCTTAGCCTTCAGCTCCGTGTTGCACTTGATCATTATATCGCACCGTGACCCTCTGACAGCTTTAAGGCTTTTGCGTTCAGATGATCGAAAGCTCAACCCCATCCGAGCGTCGCGGCAGCAACCTCGCATCGCGCTTCCATCAAACGCCCCCAATAGTCCCACTTCAGCAGCTCAAAACCTCTACAAACTTCTTTGGGTCGCCGAAAGCCTAAACCTGCCTTTGAGCGCAAAGCTTGATGATGACGAAATCGGCATCTTTGGCCCGCAAAATGTCTCCCGAGCGCACCACCTCCAACAAGGAGATAAATGTGTAAGGCTTCCCGGCAGGGAGTTTCAGAAGAAACGGACCGTAATGTAGACCCTAGTAATACCAGAATCCTGACAGTAAGGACCACCATACTGGAGTCCGTAGCTTTAAGAAAGAGTTTTTTGGCTCGAGTCTCCTGGTGCTTTTGATAAACCCGGTGCTCCTCTGTGTGTGTGTGTTAACAGAAACTCCTTCAACATGCCTATGCTTTATGTTGGACTTTGGAGTTCAGAGTTGTCCTGGCGTGCTGGGCCTCCCAAAGGCACCATGCAAGATCCTCCGCAGGCAGTTCTGTACACTGCACGGCCAAGGTATATGCTCTTGCACATCCTTCGGGTATCCCACCGTACTGCGACTGAGTGTGCTGCGTTTAAGGCTCAGTGAACACCCCGCCTAGCCCAATACCCTAAGACCAATCGAAGCTCCAACACACGCTCGTTCCACCCTGACTCCGAGGTATTACAGCCGACTGTGCACACTCTCTTGAGGCCCTTCTACCCTGAAGATCCCTGCAGCCTAAGAATTCAAGGAATTGCTGATCGAGAAAGTAGACATCGCCAACTCCAAAATCAACAACACCTGCATCTAAAGTGTAATGCAGGGGCCTTGTTAATTAGAACAGGGGCTGGGATAGATTGTGCATGATTGTGCTATACTTAGACTTACAATGGCGCCTATATGTAGGGAGTACTAGCAACCAGCCGTACGCCGATATTAGCTCAGCACCGTGCGGGGTTCTGCTTGGGTTTCGGGCTCGTGACCTGCTTGTCATTGCGGATTTGCCGCAGTGTGTCAGCCAGGACTTCCATTCGGCCTCCGCACTTTCAACAAACACTGTAACAGGGATTGAGGACTTCGAGCATAACTAGTCAAGTGCTACGATGCGGCGATTTAAATTCTCAATATGAAAATTCCAGATTTTTCGGGTCTAAGGCGGCACAGGGGTCAGGAGCCAATCTGTCGGGGTTCTGGTTTAGCGCTGACAGGGGCTGGCAGCGTCATGGGGCCGTCACTGTGACAGCAGCTTTGTAGGTATTCATCCATGGGAATGGAAGTGTGCTGACATGAGCTGGAAGCCCAGATTGTGCACTTTATGACCCGTGGCGTCCTGAAAACCCCAGCCCAACTCGTTCAAGAAACAACATGGAAACGACAATACACGAGAACGAACCTCACAGTTTTGCAACGATAAGTGGAGAGCAGGAACTCGGCAGAATTGCTTGGGCTTCAGTAATCCTATGCAGACGACGACCCCCAGGACCCAACTAAAACGTCGCAACTCAAAGCTCCGAAACCTGAACTCTGAAACCTCGACTCCGAACGCCAAGCCGTAAACTCCCAGATTCTAAGCCCACGCCCTGACTCAATGCTCTGGCTTACCAACATCTTCAACACAGAACTGCAGCAGCCCCATGCACAGAGACTCCCAGTGGCCCAGATCCGAATCGTATCCTCCAGTCCAAAGCGTGAACAGGAGTAAAAGCCTTGGCTGCCGATCTTCAGCTCTGCCTGGTCGTGCAGTGCTTGCAGGGTTCAGAAGGTTGCTAGGCTGTAGAAGATACTTTGGGCTCATATGGTTGATAGTAGAATTGGGTCTATACTATAGGCCCATAAAGTTTGGCCCTTTTTAAAGACGTTTGGTGTTAATGCTAAGCTCCCTCTCCCTCTCTAATTCTCCTGAGACTCTTGTATTGTTTTGGCAAAGCTCCAGGTGTCTAGGGGCTACTGATTTTTCTTCGGGGTGCGCGTGCTGATTTACTCGTCCTCGGCGTTCGTCTGGTTTCGTCAGGTTCGCTTTGGAGAGACTCTACTGGCATTCCGGTGGGATTTACGGGCTTTGTCAGGCTTGCAGGCGTGTCAGTAGGAGTGTCACGATTATTACAGGGAGAGAGCCCTAGCAGCCCGAGCATAGCAGCAGCCAATTCCAGAGCTTTTGAAGGGTGTTTCAGAAAGCAATTGGCAACGGAAGCCCCAGGACCGCCAATCCCAAGGAACCCAATCCCCTCAACGAAGCACAACCATCGCACCGTGATCGGCAGCGGACCCTGAGTCCCCAAGCCCAACCCTGAACTCTGGCTCCCGAATCCCGACCTGCATGCACCCCGAAGCATGAAAAACAAGCCTCTTTCAGAGGCAGAATGTGCAGTCTCTTGATGAGAACCTCCTGGCGAACCCAACCGAGATACTCAACATTGTCAAGCTTGGAAAGCAAGGATGCAAAAACCTCAATCAGCAGCAGTTGCCGAACATCAGCCCTCAAATGCTGAGGTTTGGGATGCAATTCCAACGGCAACCGACCGCAACAACAACAACAACAACAACAACAACAACAACAACAACCACAACAACAACAACCATGTAAGCTGCTGGGACATAGCGAAGCGAAACAAAGAACAGTATCTACAACTCTGGGACTCACTAGCAGCTCACTAGCACGACTGATGCCAACACACACAGTAACAGAAGCAACAGCAACAACAACAACAACAACAACAACAACAACAACAACCACAACCACAACCACAACCACAACCACGACCATAACCACAAGCACAACCACAACCACAACCGCGACGACGACGACGACGACGACGACGACGACGACGCTAGTAAAGACAACAACAAAGATGAAACTAACACAACAAAAAGCTCACTAATACAGAAAAGGAGCGTGGAGCAGACCCTCAGCAATGCCATTCGGCCAATTTGCCGGCAGCCTGCCCGTCCCCGGCCGTTTTTGCCTTGGCCATCCACTGACATGCCAGCTTATCGGATTTCAGATCGGTCTTGTACATAAGGGCCAGGTACCGCAAAGCAGAAGTGCTACCCCTTGCAATGGCCAACTCGTACATCTCTTTGGCCTTGCGTAAGGCTATACCTTGATAATGCTCTTGCATGTCGGGGGAGTACTCGGTAGACGTCTTGTTGGCGTGAGCCATCTGCTGGTAAAGGTACCCAAGGCTTGTCGCAGCTTCAGCGCTGCCCCTTTCGATGCCCATCTCATAGAGTTCCTTGGCCTTGTCCCAATTCTCGTACACCCCGACACCATCGCGGTACATGTGTCCTAGAAGTTCGGGGGCCAGGCTGTCACCACTGTTGATGCTCTTCTCATAGAGCTCTTTGGCCCTTTGGAAATCCTGTGCTACACCTTGCCCCTTCTCGTATAGGACTCCTAGGCTGGTAGAGGCTCTGTGCCATCCCCTTTGCTTGCTGAGTTCAAAGAGTTCCCGCGCCTTCTGAAAGTCGCGGGCCACCCCAAGGCCTCGGTAGTACATGTTCCCGAGAAAAGCCGGGGCGGCAGCCTCTCCCCTTTCGATGCCTATCTCATAGAGTTCTTTGGCCCTGTGGAAATCTTGAGCGACACCTTGCCCGAACTGGTACAAGGTTCCAAGACTGGTGGATGCTTCAGCGTCGCCCTTTTGCATGGCCAGCTCGAGCAACTTCCGTGCTTTCTGAAAGTCCTGGGCCACCCCCAGACCGTGATAGTACAAGCGGCCAAGGTCATAGCAGGCTGCAGTGCTACCCTTTTCGATGCCCATTTCGTACCTATACTGAACTTAGACCCCTATAGCAAAAATTATATTTTTAGCTGCTTTTTAGGGTTTATAGTAACCAAAGATTAAAAAATATTTCTAAGTACCCCTAAGGTACAATTCTTTGGCCCTGCGGAAATCTTGGGCCACAGCTTGTCCAGTCTCGTACAAGTATCCAAGCCTGGTGAGGGCAAAGTTGTCGCCTCTTTCGATGCCCAGCTCATACAGTTCTTTCGCCTTGCGGATATCTTGTGCTACGCCATGCCCAAACTGGTACAGGAGGCCAAGACTGGTGGGGGCTCCGGACCATCCCCTTTCCAGGCTCAGCTCAAAAAGATCCCGTGCCTTCTGAAAGTCAAGGGCCACCCCGAGGCCGTGGCTGTACAGGTTCCCGAGGGCAGTGGGGGCGGCCGCGCTGCCCCTTTCCTGGTTCCCTGTTGGGGATATATTAAAATGATCATTGTTAATCCTTATTGGGTTTTACGATAACAAAAAATGTAAAATTGTATCCAACAAGGACCCAGTTTCCATGCCCATCTCATATAATTTTCTGGCCCTCTGGAAGTCTGTCGCCATCCCTTGCCCGTACTCGCACATGTTTCCAAGGCCCACGAAGGCCTCAGCGTCGCCGTCTGCCATGCCAACCTCGAAGAGGTCGTGTGCTTTCTGAAAGTCGCGAGCCACCCCCAGACCGTTCTGGTACAAGCGGCCAAGGCAAGAGCGGGCGTCAATGCTACCCTTTTCGATGCCCCTTTCATACAATTCCTTGGCCCTGGTGAAGTCCTGGACCACAGCTTGTCCAGTCTCGTACAAGTATCCAAGCTTGCTGAAGGCAAGGTCATCGCCTCTTTTGATGGCCACCTCATACAGCTCTTTGGCCTTGTGGATATCTCGCGCTCCCCCTTCCCCTCCCTGGTACAACAATCCAAGGAGGGTGGGAGCTCTAGCGAAGCCCATTTTCATGCTGAGATCAAGGAGTTTCCGCGACTTCTGAAAGTCCCGGGCCACCCCCAAACCCAATGTGTACCTAGGTTGGCCCCTCACCCTAAACCCCAAACCAAAGCCTGAGAACAATTTTCGAAAAGAAGATACTCTTAAGCCCAAGAAAGGAAAATAGACAATTTCCCAGAGGCCTACCCGGGTACATCACCCCGAGGTTAGAGAAAAACCTGGCATCGTTAGGGTCAAGGCGATTCCGAGGGTGGCAGACTGCGAGTGTCTCCTGGGTTGCAGCGAAGGAACTTATGAGCTAATTCTACCACACTAGGGAGACCTAACATTATTTTGGGTTTAGGGTTTAGGGTTATATCCCCATTATGGTAACTTAAACCATCATACAAATTCCTTGACAGCAGCCCAGTATCTTTGGCACAAGCACCCCAGCGCCATGTGGTGGTTTCCTGAAACTTCTCTGACATTGGGGACAGCAGCCGTGCCCTTTCGTAGATGACGGACGTTGCTGCGTGCATGTCGCCAGCTGTCATGGCGGGGTGCGTGAAGGTGATGCTCACCTGGGCAGTTCTCTAAATTAGGGTCCCTTTTTAGGTCCCCAATATACTCGGCACCCTTACAAAAAGGACCCTATAAAGGGGACCCTCATTTAGAAAACTACCCATATACTGTTTGAGTACCCTAAACCCTAAACCCTAAACCCCTATAGTTTAGAAAACGACCCACCTGCAGCGTGCCCCTCAAGGCTCGAACAGCTGCTTTCAGCTCGCTTCTGTAGAAGACAGTGTCAAAGAGCGTCTTGTACGACCGACCTGGGGAGTTTAGGGTTTAGGGTTTAGAGTTTAGGGTTTAGGGTTTAGGGTTTAGGGGTTTAGGGTTTCGGGTTTAGGGTTTAGGGAGGGGTACCTTCTTTTGGGGTCCTTATGATAAGGATCCTGCTATTTAGGGCTACTCTATTAGGGTCCCCTATTTTCGGAAACCCTAAACCCTAAACCCCTAAACCCCTACACCCTCTAAACCCTCTAAACCCTCTAAACCCTAAGCCCTATGTTCGGCAACCCCACCTTGCTTAATGTGATAGCCGATCGCGACGGCGACTTGTTGGGACCTCGCCGCCCAGGTGCTGGCGAACTGCCGGGATGCACCAACCCAAAACGCCTTGACCTTTGGGGCTTTAGGGGTTTGGGGGTTTTAGGGTTTAGGGGTTCAGGTTTAAGGGTTTAAGGGTTTAAGGGTTCAGGGGTTTAGGGGTTTAGGCGGGTTTAGGGTTTAGGGTTAGCCAGTTCACAAGCATGTACGCAAGAGAAGGATCCTTGCGGGGAAGGCTGTGCCGAAGGCCGTTTCTCGGATGAAATCCCCAAACCAACTAGACATGTACTGAGCGCTGCAACCCTAAACCCCCTAAACCCTAAACCCTAAAACCCCTAAACCCTAAACCCCTAAAGCCCAAACCCCCTAAGCCCTAAACCCTAGACCCCTAAGCCCTAAACC